TTTACAGTACGTGATGCGAAGGTCTTGTAAAAGCATGCGGCAGTAATGGGCTCCAGATGTCTTCACAAAGGACTGCAACTCTCCAAGGACTCTCCTCTCCGCAATATGATCACAATCAGGTCACTTTTCTATTGGGGGACTTTGGGAGCGAGAGCCGGGCAGTGATGCAGTATATGAAAATGACCACCTCTGCTCACAAATACGAGTGTATGTGGTGAGTTTTTCTTACATTTAAACAGGCGGATGCTTTTATCTACTGCATTTAAACATATACCATACATTTATCAGTTCATGCATTCCCTTGGAATCGAACCTGTGATATCGGTGTTGCTTACACTGTGCTCTGTTTCTAATCAATATAACATAGCTTATATAGTTGCATCATTTATTATATTTCCATTGCAAAAACAGTCCAATAATAATTAAAGGTTTACACTGTCATACTTGCAATTTAGTGTTCAGCATATATAAGTACACCCCTCACAAATCTATCTTTTAAATAAATAATTTTAATAGGAAGCTGTACAATATTATATTTGTGCATCTACATTAGATTAGTTAGTACCGAAGCCAATATCTAACAAAATAACTTATAATAACGGTCCAAAAACTAGTACAGCCAAATTTATATGTTATAGAAAAATGTTAAATACAAACTTATGAAGAGGAAAAATCAAAAGATGAAAAAAAATCTAAAAAATTAAGTTGAAATTTTGTAGTTTGTAATTTTTTTTTTGCAATATTTAGCTTGAAATTATTTGTATTATCTTTCAGTTTGTCAATATGTTTGGTGACAAAAATTTTATTTTTTATAAATATATCTGTTTAATAAATTTGTTTTGTTTAAATGCACCAAAATACATTGCCTATATTCGCTGAGGAATGGATAACAATATTTATTTCAAAATGGGATGTACTAAATTATACTGAGCACTGTATATTTATAACAAATTTCTGTTTGACAAGATTACTTACTATCTTCTGGCTTAGTTTCTAATCTATAAAGGGTCGCCACTGCAAAATAAACCGCCAATTACTTTGGCATATGTTTAATGCAGCAGATGAATAACTATTTTCAATAATATTAATATTACGAAATTATCATATGAGTAGTATTGTTTAAGGATCATGTGAGACTGAAGACTAAAGTACTGCCTGTTGACAGATTAGCTTTGCATTACAGGCATAAAAAAAAATCTTAAAACAAAAAAATACAATTATTGTCTCGTTTAATGCATTTTATTTCTAAATGCAGTCTTTGTGTACATTAAAGGGCACCTATGGTGTAAAATCTACTTTTAAAGCTGTTTGGACAGACATGTGTGTAGATAAAGTGTATAGACTGTCTTACTGAGATTATATAAACACACCTAGTCCATTTTTTTTTTTTCAAATTTAACAACATAAAAATGCTGGACTAATTGGAGCGGTTTTCAGATCGACCGCAACTTGACGTAGGAGTGCGGTCCCCCCGCCCAACAAAAGTTAATTGACAGGCTCGCGTTAACATGTCTCCGTAGTAACACATATAATCATATCAGCAAGACCAGATGTGCGCAAAGCAACAGGGAATAAAATGCCTGTTCAGTTTGCTGGGATCAACAATCATCATCAAATGTGATCAAGAGTGAGTTTTACAAGTTTAAAATGTTTTAATACAGTGCATGTGTGTAATGAATTACAGCGATTTACTTCAGCTTTACTTTATCAGCACAGCCGTGTGTCAGTACAATTATCGAGGAAGACGCTTCAATCGTGGTTTGTGGACTTTAAATCAGGTTTATTTTGTACATTAACATAACAGATATCCATACTGCGAAGCATGTCCATGCGTGCAAAAAGAGTGCGCAGCTAAACGCGTGTGCTGTGTGTGTGTGTGTGTGTGTCTGCGCTATGTCTGTCTGTCTGCACTATGTGTGTGTGTCCTCGCCATGTGTGTGCATGAACTTTGAAACAACATCAAGTGTGTGGCTTGTGGTTGCAACTTAAAAAAAATGCATTAAATAATCATTGGTAAAGTTCTTATTTTAGTATTTTTCCCAACGCGACGTAAGATCTGCTTCCTGAGGCAGCCGAGGGCGGCAATTGAGGCATATTGCTGACAGTCACGTTGGAACAGCTATAATAAATAATCTGATGGGTGTTTTGAGCTGAAACTTTACAGACACATTCTGGGGACACAAAAGATCTTAAATCTGGAAAAAGGGGTAACCTAGGTGCCCTTCAAAATATTTTGGGGTTAAAAATCTATTAAACGCTGTTATTTTGAACTTTTATTCATTAAAAATATCCTGAAAATTGTTTTATTGTGAAATATAATAGCAATGCTATTTATTAATTTTTTATTTTTTCATGACTTTTGCTGCTATTCTTGTGTCTACTGATATTCTTGTCTTTGTCCTTTTTTTGTTTTTGTTTTATGTTCACTAAAACCAACAAACAAAGACTAACAAAAAATAAATAAAATGAATATTTTTATTAATATTAGCTTTACATCAGAGGGAATTTCTTTTAAAAGTTAAAAAAGGGAAAAATGTTCAAATAATTTACATGTGCTCTTAAATTGCATTTTTGAATGAATAAATGCAGCCTTGAAGACTTCTTTCAAAACCAGTCTGACAAACTTTTGAACTCCCTGATTATCTTTATTGATTTGAGAAAAAAAGAAACAATGTAAGCGGAGCTGCAGAGCTTAACCAATTCACTGATGGCCATTTCATCAGTTTCTTTTACTGTTTGGCTTTATGAATGTTTTTATTAGAGTTTTTGTCAATAAACTTTACAATAACAAATGAAAAGAAAGAATAAATCCTCTGTCATCGGCTCCCGGGTAATGCCTGGAGCAAAGATGACAACGTTCAGGAGCCAGAAAGAATCAAACTCTCAGGGCAGCAGTGGTGAATGAGCTTTTAAAGAGGAGGCCGGACTGAACTAAAGTCTCTGCTTTCATGCTTCAGTTACTGCTGTGCTGCTGACTGTAGGCTCACTTACTGTCACTCATCAGCACTGTTTCAGCTAAACTCTTTCCCATGTACGGAAACCCTGGAAAAGTCAACAGTATCAGCTGAACACTTGCAGTTAAATGATAATTAGAGTTATGAAATACCAGTAGTTCACATCAAATTGTGTAAAATGTGTTCCCCTTTTACCTGAAGACTAACGTTTATGTAATCAAAAGGAGGGACCATATCAGTATAACAGGCATGTGTTATTATAGCAGGCAGTTTATGACATCATCTTCTGCAGTTTTACCAATCACAGATTGTCATTCATGTGGTGCATGACCAGAGTGCACGTGAATGGGCTAAAAACATTAACTAATGCCCAGCCAGCATTTTTAGGTTGTAAAAACTTCCCTTAATGTTCCCATTTGGTTAATATTTTGTTCTTAGTAAGAACACTGAAAATATCCAGTTTTTTAGACAATTTTTTTGTTTAATAATGTTATTCAAAGGATCTTCATAACATTTCAGTCTATCATTCATTCATTCATTCATTTTGCTTCGGCTTAGTCGGCTTAGAGGTCACCACAGCCCAATGAACTGCCAACTTATACAGCATGAAAATATATACAGCAGACACCATTTTTGGTTGACTATCCCGTTAATTTAAATATTTCTTTCATTTTCCTTTAGCAGAATGAACTGCCAATCTTTCCAGCATAGGTTTTACACAGCGGATGCCCTTCCAGCTGCAACCAAGTGTTGGGTAACACCCATACAAGCTTATTTTCACACTCACACACACACACTCATACACTGACCAATTTAGTTTATTTAGTTCACGTGTAGCGCATGTCTATGGACTGTAGGGGAAACCGAAGCACCCAGAGGAAACCCACGCAAAAACAGTGAGAAAATGCAAACTCCACACAGAAAGGCCAACTGACCCAGCCAGGACTCGAACAAGTGACCTTCTATCTTTGAGGCGACAGTGCTATCCACTGAGCCACCGTGTCGCCTTCTATTATTCATTTAAAACATTATTAGAACATTCCTTGCACAATATATTAATGTTCTAAGAGCATTTCCTTAAACTGTTCTCAGGAAGTTATAAAAAGATTATTGTGGAAGGTTCTTGGAATGTTCAAACTTCCATTTTTTTGGTTATAACATTATTGAGAATATAATTATTTTAATATATATATAAATAAATTGATCAAAATTATTGATAAATATTGTACAATTATTTAACAAATAAATTAATAAATAATTATTTAGAATTCATTTATTCATTCGTTTTTTTAGGCTTAGTCCCTTTATTCATCAGAAGTCGCCACAGTGGAATGAACCGCCAACTTATCCTGTAAATGTTTGACGCAGCAGATGCCTTTCCAGCCACAATCCAGTACCTGGGAAACACCCATACTCTCTTGCATTCACACACATACACTATGGCCAATTTAGCTTACTCAATTCACCTAGACCGCATGTCTTTGGACTGTGGGGGAAACCAAAGCCCCCAGAGGAAGAGCATACAAACTCCACACAGAAATGTCAAATGACCCAGCCAGGGCTCAAACCAGCAACCTTCTTGCTGTGAGGAGACAGTCCTTACCACTGAGCCATCTTGTCGCCCTGAATACATATTAATACAAATATATGTTCCTCCAAAAACATTCATTTTATTAATGTTACATGCTACCATTTCACAACTTTTAGTGATCATTATATAATGTTCTGAAAACATTCCCTATCAGCTGGGTAGTTATCGCCATATTTAACCAGTTGATTAATTACTGTAAGAATTGCAAACTGTTATGCAAATGATGCAGTGTACAATTGAACATGCATTCATTTGCATACATTTCTAGCACAAAAATCTGAATATTGGATATTGAATTTTTTGTTTATTTTATTTTGATTATTTTGTTTATTTTAGTTTGTTTATTTTACAAAAGAAACACTTAAGAGAGTGCTTTGGATGTTTTCTTTACAAACTTACTGAGAAAAAAAAACGATTTAAGAAAAACCCAAAAGTTTAAATATCTGCAAATGGACAGATGTTTTTGCTTGCAATGTCTTGCTCTAAACACTGTTTACTTTAAATTACACCTTTTAGCAGAGGAATAATTGTACTCCCTATTAACACAATTAAACACCTGGCCATTTTTTGTTTCTGCAAATGAAATTTTCATCACATAATCCCCCCAGGCCAAGCAAATGGTTCCAAAAGCAAAACTGGGTTACATCATTTGACTGGAAGCATTTAACACGTCCAAACTGTCACTCAAAATGAGTAATGGATCTCATAGCCTTGTCTATTTAGCATACATACATGCCGAACCCAGAGACATGTCATACGAGTCAAAAGCCAGTTTATCAGAGCATTATGTGCACAAAGTGAATCATTTAGTATGTGCTTTTCTGTTCCAGTGGTCTCGGTGCTATAATGAATGTTTCATATTTAGGGATTTGAGTTACATCTACACCAAAGTAGTAAAACTTGCATAGAGAATGTGCCAAAAAAAGGTGTTTAAATAGCACTGTGAATGGGTGAAGGCTGCGCCATCTGGTGGAGGATATAAGAAACAACTTTAAAAAACCGCAGGCCAAAAAGTATAACTTAAAATGATATATTGACATGTTACACAAGATAGAATATAATTAAATAACAATTACTGCATAAAGTTGTAGCATGATTTCCATAGAGAGCAAGACGGGCTTGCAAGGACGTTATCGTCTTTTCTTCTCATTAGAAATTGGTCTGCTTGGTCTCCTCACTTGCCTCCAGATCAGCTGCTATGTTTTCATAAAATCCATGCTTTTCTGCTTTTTCTGCACTTCTGCAAAGGAAGACACAATTAACTTAATGCTGTTCAGTTAAAGCCTCACATTTCACTGAGAATAGACTTTACAGGGGATAGTTCACCCAAAAATGAAAATTCTGTTTTATACCCTTTACTTGTTCAAAACCTGTGCAGAAGAAGATATGTTGAAAAACGCTCGTAGCTGGCTCTCATTAACTGCCAGATTTTTTTTTCCTACACTGTAAAAATGACTGAGTTCCAGACAATTCCTTTATGTTGTCCCAACACAAACCGATTAAGTTACCTTCATGTTAAGTTAAATTCATGAAACAATTAAGTTGTCCCAAAACAAACCCAAGAATTGTGTTGATTCAGCTCATTTTAAATAAGTATTTTGAACAAGCAGCAAAAATCATTAATCTGAGTGTACAATGAAATTTGATGGGTATCAGCAATGAGCATTCTTTAGAATATCTTCTTTTGTGTTCAACAGAAGAAAGACACTTGTTAATGTTTACAACCACATAAGTAAGAATAAATGGGGAAGTTATTTCCATTTTTGGAACTATCCTTTTAATAATTAATTAAAAGTACTACCTATGACTGGATTACTCTAACTGTAAATTGATCATTTTAAGTTCATAATATATGAATCGATCATAGGCGTCACAGTGGTTCAGTGGGTATCACGATCGCCTCAGCAAGAAGGTCGCTGGTTCGAGCTCCGGCTGGGTCAGTTGGCATCCTTTTCAGTAAAAGGTTCACATCTATGGAATGCCATGCCTGTTCATTTAAAGTTACAATCAGAACTCCCAGTTTTTTATGTAAAGCTGAAAGAATGGTTAAAATCTTTACAGCAATTTGAACATTAAGCATTACTCTTTCAGGTTGGTCCCATTTACATTTCTCTTTATCCATATGGACGTGCATCTTATGTTTATGGCTCTGTAAATATTGTACATGTTTGCTGCATTGTGTTTTATTCTTGCCGGTTTTCTTTTATTATTATTATTTTTTATTTTTTTATTTTTATTTTTTTTATAATGTAAAGCCTAACCAGGGACGAGGGCTGCAAATTAGCTTTATGCTATATGCCCTATGTACACAACATCGGTTATCTTTGTATAACAATGTCAAGTGTATTGTCCCTGTAAAATAAACAAGCAAATAAAAAAAAATAAAAAAATTTGTGTGTGGAGTTTGCATGTTCTCCCCTTGTTGGCGTGGGTTTTCTCCGAGTGCTCCGGTTTCCCCCACGGTCCAAAAACATGTGGTACAGGTGAACTGGGTAAGCTAAATTGGCCGTAGTGTATGTGTGTGAATTCAAGAGTGTATAGGTGTTTCCCAGTGTTGGGTTGCGGCTGGAAAGGCATCCTTTGCGTAAAACACATGCAAGATAAGTTGGTGGTTCATTAAGCTGTGGCGGCCCCAGATTAATAAAGGGACTAAGCCGAAAGAAGATTAATGTGTGAACGAATCAATCATGCACAGATAGTTAAATGCAAGCTTAAAGTAAAGTTTGACTATTTAGATATATTTTAAACTCTAATTTACTCTTGTCATTTAATTCCACTAATTGTCATTTAATCAATGTTCAGCACCATTATGCTCCAGTCTTTAGTGTCACATGATCCTTTAGAAATTATTCTGATGTGATCTGCTGCTCATTTCTTACCATTACCAGTATTGAAACCATGCTTTAACATGATAATGCAGTGTTAAAGCTCAATAATCTTTTGATTATAAAATAGAATGAACATAGTAAAGATTTCATTTTAACTGAAATATTGGCATAGGACGATAACAATTTTTAAAGTCAAAGTCAAAGTTTTAAAACCCCCAAAGTTTTCTGTTATACCATTTTTAAGGTATGAGTAAGATTTTTTATTTATATTCATTTATTTTATTTTTTTTAGGACAACAGTATCTTCAGCAGAAAAGAAATCCATTTTAAATTGTAAAGAAATCAGTGTTTTTGAAACAAATGAAGACAGCAGAAGTCAATGATTCATTTGAACTATTTAGTCTGACCTGTTTACTGTTCCAAAATATTATAAATCTTTAAAAAAAAAAAAAAAAAAATATATATATATATATATATATATATATATATATATATATATATATATATATATATATATATATATATATATATATATATATATATATATATATTGTTTCCAAAGGGGCAAAAAGTTGTTTTTAATAGACATTTAAAAGGAATATATTTTAGAGCAGTAAATACAATACCGTGAAACCGTGATATTTTTATCTACGATTATCATACCATCAGAACCTTATACTGGCCCCTGCCTATTGAAATCTTAATGGGCACATTTTTCGGAAAAATACTGTAAGCTATACACTGAAAAAAATGAGTTTGCTGTTTGTTCAAATTACTTATCTAAAATGAGCTGAAACAACACAACTCCTGAGTTTTTTTGTGGAGCAACTTAATTGTTTTATGTTCAATTCACCCACATTTGTAAAAATTAATAAGTTAACTTAATTCTTTCATTTTGTCCTGACACAAATCGATTGTGTTGAACCCAGTATTACAGTAAAACTATATTGGTAATGTCTATATTGTATTGTACATTAGTATTTCCTGATAATGGCTTTAGGTGTGTTTCTTGGCTGATCTCTCTGGCCTTGACAGTATCTTCAAGTGTACAGTCATAAAACGGCAGTAATCATTTTAAAAACCATAAACTCTTCATCAGCATCATGTTGTTAAATTACTTATCAAATTATTAGGAACTGTCACAAATATAAACAACACCTTGAACTATTAAAACAATGATTAAAGCATTTCCATTTAAATGAAACGCACCAACAATTATCAAACCAAAATTCAGGTATTATATTATCTGTGTAGCTTTTAATGATGACTTCAGGCACTGTAAAAAATTATTGTAAAAAGATTTCAGTTCAGTACTCACTTGTCTTTCTTGAAAAAAAGTCTTTGGATGATGAGGGCAACGAAGACGATAAAGAGAAATCCAACAACGGCTGCCAGTCCCACCAGCCATGGCTGTAATGTGACTTTTCCTGTGTCTGATGTCGCCCGTTGGCCACCTGAGTAACAGTTTAACGCATAAGGTTTTACTATAAAACTTAACACATATACAACTTCATATATATATATATATATATATATATATATATATATATATATATATATATATATATATATATATATATATATATATATATTTTTTTTTTTTTAATTCTTTCATTCATTCAATTTCTTTTCGGCTTAGTCCCTTTATTAATCTAGGGTCACCACATAGGAATTAACCGCCAACTTATCCAGCATATGTTTTTACGCAGCGGACGCCCTTCCAGCTGAAACCCATCACTGGGAAACCCATACACACTCGTTCAAACACATACATACACTATGGACAATTTAGTCTACCTAATTCACCTGTACGACATGTCTTTGCACTGTGGGAAAACCGGTGCACCCGGAGGAAACCCACGCAAACACAGGCAGAGCATGCTAACTCCACACAAAAACGCAAACTGACCCAGCCAAGGCTCGAACCAGCGACCTTCTTGCTGTGATGTGACAGCAAATCGCATATGGCATACAAAATCATGTTTGCATTTTACATATATAAAAATATATGTCTTATATGAACATATCTGCATCACATATATTTCAAAATATTGCAAAAATATTTGAATTTAATCATTAGAATTACACATATGTACATGTATGTTCAAATATATTAGTTTAAAATCTAAAGTTACAGTTTACAAAAAAATGTCATCATTTAATCACCCTTTACCTTTTCCAAACCTGTTTGAGTTTCTTTATTCTGTTGAACACAAAATATTATATTATGAAGAAAGCTGAAAACCTGCAACCTTTGACTTCCATATCCTTGTTTTACCTACTATGGATGTCAATGGTTACTGTTTTCTAGCTTGCTTCTAAATATAATCTTTTAAATTACCATCAGTATAAAGAAACACAAAGGTTTGTAACTTAAATAGTGAGTAAATGTAACATTTTTAGTGTGATCTATCCCTTTTAGAAGTTAAAACTTTACTGAGCAAAATCACAAGAAACCGTAGTACACAGGAAAATCAGCCCTGCGGATGCTAAGTGCAAAAAGAAAGCAAAATGAACAAATTATTTAGAAATGTCTGTAAATGTACTCACCAGCTTGAGCTTGATAAATGCAGGCAGAGAGTATTATGAAGGCAGCGATATTCTTTAGATGAAACATGGTGAATTTACAGTGCAGTCACACTGCCGTCTTCCTCTGTCGTCTGTAAATATGTGAAGGTTTTATTGTGTCCAAAGTACAAAATCCAATAAAGAGAGCAGAGACCGCAGCATGTAACTCCCAGAGTAATTGTGCATGATTATACTTAGATAATGATGTTATGTGCTGTAATGCTGTAAAGACAAATGGACTCTTCAGCAGAACAGAAGGGCATGCCAGTCTAAAGTGCTGAAAAAATATATTAGAGAAAAACTTTATTTACTCTTAAATGAAATAATAGTTACTTTTAGTCTGTGTGTTTGTTTCAAAGTGCTTACTTAAAGGTTTACAAAAATGACAGTCGTTCTTTTCTGGTGAAAACAGAGCAAAAATATCAATGACTCATCCTGCACTAGGCAGATGAATATTTTGTCCAATCAGATTGTGTCTACGATGATAAATCTCCACCCCCTAACATCACATCCTGCCGAATAGCAAATTGTTTTCAATGTGTCCTCCATTTTATATATCCCAACCTCATGTTTCAATTGAAAATGTAGGACAAAAAAAAACATTGATTCCAAAAAAATCTTCATAAGAAGTGTCTTTTAGGAAAAAAGAAAGAAAAACTGTTTGTTAACTATGAATAGATGACACAATGAAAAACAAGCCTTTCATGCTAGCTGTCGCTAACATCAGTCTGAATGGAGGATTTAGCAGAAGGCTGGGGTTTGTCTGAAATAACCCAAATAGCTGGTAAGTCTTCGGTGCCCTCCATGAGCTGTAGAATATCCTTGTCTGTGTCCATGTCCTCCAGCTCAGGCATCACCTCTGGTGTCCAGTCTGCCCTAAACTTCTCTCGCCTTTCCCAGGGAAACTCCTGCTCCTCCACAGGCTGCTCTCCAAACAGGTAATCTACAATATTGAAAGAGTGCAAATGTTGGTCAAATGTTGGCTTGAATTGAGTTTTTGGGGTTATTTATAGACTGCTGACAGTAATTTTTGAACCTGAACTACAAAATCTGTTTTAAATTGCACAGGTATATTTTTGGCAATAGATCCAAAACATGTTGTATGGGTCAAAATGATTTTCCTTTTATGCCAAAATATAGCACATTGAGTGAAGATCATGATCCATAGGGATATTTTGTTAATGTCCTAGGCTACTGTATATATATATATATATATATATATATATATATATATATATATATATATATATATATATATATACACACACACACACACACACACACACACATATATATATATATATATATATACACACACACACACACACACTTGAAGTCAGAATTATTAGCCCCCTTGAATTTTTAGACCGCTTGTTTATTTTTTCCCCAATTTCTGTTTAAAGGAGAGCAATTGTTTTCAACACAATTCTAAACATTATAGTTTTAATAACTCATCTCTAATAACGGATTTATTTTATCTTTGCCATGATGACTGTAAATAATATTTTACTCGATATTTTTCAAGACACTTCTATACAGCTTAAAGTGACATTTAAAGGCTTAACTGGGTTAATTAGGTTAACTAGGCAGGTTAGGGTAATTAGGCAAGTTATTGTATAACAGTGGTTTGTTCTGTAGATTATCGAAAAAAAATATAGCTTAAAGGGGCTAATAATTTTGTCCCTAAAATTGTGTTTAAAAAATTTAAAACTGCTTTTATTCTAACCTAAATAAAACAAATAAGACTTTTCAGACATACTGTGAAAATTTCCTTGCTCTGTTAAACATAATTTGGAAAATATTTAAAAAAGAAGAAAAAAAATTGAAGGGGCTAATAATTCTGACTTCAACTGTATTGTAAATAAACATATGCTTAAATAAGTATAATTTTTTTGGAGCTTTTGGCATTGCCACCTTTTCATTTGAGTACTTGTTTGGCTGAGCACCCAGTTGAGATTGATGTGCGTGCTTTTGTTAAATTATTTCTACTGTAAATAGAATACATTACAGTACAATACAATACAATACAGTATACAAATACTTGCTATATGAAACTAAATGAGATTGGATTGTTTTTAATTAGCATTTAATTAGTGATGTAATGTGATTGAATGTGGAATGAGGTGGTGGAGTGAGGAAATTGTTTCACTCTGAGGAAGGCATTGAGCTGAAATGTTGGTGTTTTGTATCTCAGAAGAATGTGAAATAAAGAAATATAAAGTAATTATTTAGTGAGTGGGATCATGAGCTTTTGAATTACTGTAAATTACTGTAAATATATCAACATTTAATTTTTGATTAGTAATATAGTAATTTGCTTGCCAAGAAATTAAAAAGCGATTTTTCTCAATATTGTAATATTTTTCAACCATTAGGTTACAGATTTTTAAACAATTGTAGCTCAGCCAAAAATTGTACTATTTATGTTTTATTTGTTCAGCTTTGAGTTGATTATATTTATTACAATAAAAAAAGACACTTTTTTTGGTTACACTTTATTTTGATGGTCTATTTGAGTATTAGTAGACTGTCTGCTTAATATCTGTTGATTCTGCTCCTTCAACAGACATCTAAATGACTATAAGAAACTTTGCAAGTACATGTCAACTTACACTAACCCCAACCATAACCACAACCTAACAGTCTACTTAGAGTAGACTCATTTAATCTGATGAGAATTGGTTGGCATGTGGATGCAATGTAACTTAAATTAAACAAACAGACCATCAAAATAAAGTGTCACCCCTTTTATAATATAATATAACTGAGGGCGACATAGTGACTCAGTGGTTAGCATTGTCACCTGACAGCAAGAAGTTGCACCTATTGGCATTTCTGTGTGGAGTTTGCATGTTCTCATGCTCAAGTGGGTTTTCCTCCGGGTGCTCTGGTTTCCCCACAGTCCAAAGACATGCACTGTAAGTGAATTGGATGAACTAAAATTGCCACAGTGTATGAGTGTGAATGTTTGTGTGTATGGTTGTTTCCCAGTGCTGTGTTGCAGCTGGAAGGGCATCCGCTGTGTAAAACATATGTTGATAAATACAGGACTAAGCTAGATGAAAATGAATGAATTAATATAACTGAGGAGAATAATGACACCCTAAGACATAAGCTACTCTCATCATTTAAAATAAGGTATAACCTAAACAGCACAACACACTAAATGTTCTACCATCTTATTAGAAACATTTATAAGGATATAAATTGTGCTTTCATGTTGTGAAGACCAAAGATCAACTGTAAACATTACATGACAATTTAAAAATAGCAATCTTTTTTGTGTGTAGTTTTACAAAATTTGACATATATTTTTCATTCATTTTCTTTTCGGCTTAGTCCCTTTATTAATTCGGGGTCGCCACAGCTGAATGAACCGCCAACTTATCCAGCACATGTTTTACGCAGCAGATACCCTTCCAGCTGCAACCCATCTCTGGAAAACATCCATATACACTAATTCACACTCTTACACTACAGACAATTTAGCTTACCCAATTCACCTGTACCACATGTCTTTCGCTGTGGAGAAACTGGAGCACCCGGAGGAAACCCTAGCAAATGCAGGGAGAACATGCAAACTCCACACAGAAACACCAGCTGACCCAGCCTAGGCTCGAACCAGGGACTTTCTTGCTATGAGGCGACAGCGCTACCTACTGCGCCACTGCATCACCTTTGACATTACATACAATTTAATTCTTTAACTATTAGTCTGTTGTCTTGCATACTGTAGCACATGCAAAGCTACTTTCTTTGTTTTCAAACTGTACATCTTATCAGGCATTCTCTAGAAATCAGCCTCATGACTAGAAGTGCTGAAGTGCAGTTTAGGCTTCAGAGGATGATCTCAAGCTGTTGCTCAGCTGGTCTCGAAAATCAGCCAAAAGCTTGGAGAACTGCTCTGACCAGCAAATCATCTTAGACTGCTTTATGTTTCTGCCAAAGAAGTCAAGTGTTCTCTAGTAAAAAGGGGATTTTTTGAACACTGTTTATAGAAAATAAGCCCGCAAATGTGCAAAGAGGATTTGCAGGTCTTTAAGTGGAAAGAGACGGGTGAATGTTTTCTTGTCTCATACCTGCCAGATCATGGATGAGGTCTATGATGAGGTGTCTGATCATGGCGAACAGGGTGACGACGGTCACACTCACAGCCAGCAGCAGATATATCACATGCTTGGGTGGAAGAAACCGATTGTTTTCTTTGGGTTTGTAGTCCTGGAAAAAGTCCTCATGCAGATTATTGCTGTTCTCGTCTAAATCCATAAGTAGCGTTGTTTAGTCCTCTGCGTCAGGGTTAACACCTAATCGATAGCTTGTTTGTTTTCTTTTATTTCCTGTCGATCTGGGTCAAAATAATTAGCAAACATCATTTACTTTTTATTGACTTGAAGCATCATTGTAGGTTAAAGACAATTGCCATTAAATAATACTGTTACAAAGCAATGTCAATACAGTTTAAATGAATAGTTTACCCAAAAATAAAAAATAACCCTTTTATTTACTCTCCCTCATGTGGTTTTTAAACCTTTTAAGTTTCTTTTTTTTTTGTGTTAAACATAAACAAAGAAGATATTTTGAAGAATGCTGGTTGCTGGAACCCATCGACTTGCAAAGAAGGAAAATAAATACTATGGATGTCAATTGGTCCCAGCAACAAGCATTATTAAAAGTATCTAATTTTATTTAGTTTGAAAGGGAAGTAAGTTGGTTCGGTTGTGTTCATATTGCATAAATACCTATGTAAAACCACATCAAACTAATAGCTATGTAATTAAATTAAAAGTAATAAATATGAAATTATAATTCAGAAAACAGAAATAGTTTGGTATACCCTTATAAACGATGCTCTAATAATCTTTGTTTAACAACCTTTTTTTACCTACAATAATGTTAGTGGTATGCTGATGTTAGTGGTGAAATCTTTATGGTGTTAGTGGTGAAACATTTAAGGTGAACTCTTTAACAGGAATTTAAAAAAGACAAGAATAGAATTTATGTAAGGGTTAAATTGCATGATTCCATAATAAATTTAATGATCATTTATACAATATATAAATGTTTTGAAGAGTTATGCTCTGCAATGCCACATTTAATTTGACTATATATATGGCAATGAAAACAATAATATTGTAAGATATTACCACAATTGAAGTGAACACTTTGTATTTTAAAAAGGTTGTTTTATTTTTGAGATAAAAAACTTCAGTGTCACATGATCCTTCAGAAATCAGTTTTAACTATTTGAAAGTCTTTACTGACACTTTCAACCAAACTACTGGATTCTTGAAAAATTGAAGTATAATTAATAAATCAATATTGTAGTTATTAATATTTTTTAATTAATAAATACAGAAAATTCTACCTACCTTTCATTATCTGAAAAAAACATTCAAAACTTTAGCAAAAGTTTAATTGAATCCA